CAGGTGTACCGCTCCAACAAGTGCGATGCGTCGTCCTTCCCGTTCCTGGCCACGCTGCAGCTCAACACGGTGGTGTATCTCTCATACGACGATCTCTCGCGTGATCTGGCCGCCTTCTTCGCCGAGAAGGAGATCAACGTGGTGCGTACCAATACACTCAAAGCAGTGATCAGCAAATGCTAAGAGTATATGGAGAGCAGATCCACTTGGGCATGAAGTATCGCACTGCGTCATCCCAATGGAAGGGTATTTCAGAAGGAATGGCTAAAGAGACCATCGAGTGCATCCTGGATCAGAGACGACACCCCATTCTGGTCATGTGCAAGTGCGACATATAAACTTTGGGTTTGTTTTGGCGATAGATCCTCATTGAGTTTTGATGTGGCTGTAGGACTGGTGTGCATTTTGCTGGCACAATGATCGGCTGTCTGCGCCGTCTGCAAAACTGGAGCTTGACGTCGACAATTGACAAGGCGAGTAGATGTTTGAAGTGTCAGAGCTGGTGCTGCTGACTAAAACCTGATGATGAATGGTGTGCAGTATCGTAACATTGCAGGCAGTGTCAAAACTCGCTTCGAGAACGAGCAGTTTATAGAGCTATTTGACGTCGACTTGGTCACTCTGCCGCAGCAACTGCCGTCGTGGTTTACTGTCCACCAACGACTCACGGTATGACACTAAAGGCATTTTCTGTGATTGCAAGCGTGCTGATATTGTGTGGGCGTGCAGGAAGAGGAGCGGATTGCGCTGACCAGGGGCGAGTTTTTCCCCGGACGAACTCCTGACAAAGTCGAAGAACTACCGCCACCCCAACAGGATGAGTCAGAGACTAAGGCAGACGAGGAGCATCGTTCAGAGGCAGAGGAAACACCGACAGAAGCAGGAGAACCTCCCGTGCTGGCGTACCAGAAGTATTTCTTCTATCTACAAGGTCCATTGGTATCTTCGTCTGTCAAGTTCTCAGAGAAGAAGAGTATTATTGGCGACGATGACGATGATTAGGCATTAGCAAACCCCTGTCTGTATTATTGACCACCACCAGCATAAAGTCGATCGAAAAATGCAAAGCGATGCTGGCACAAATCTACAAAGTCAAGGGTAGCAACCTCGTGGAGTGCTTAGGTCAGGTCCTGAGCGACATCGACCTCACCTGAGATTCTCAGCCACGCGTGCCCAGAGGGAGGGAAGTCTGACGTTTGCGAAGGCTCTGGCTTCGCTCACGAAGCTCGAGAAACTCGACCTGAGTGACAACACCTTTAAGGCCCAGGGAGGCGAGGCTATTGCTGCTGCAGTCAAGAACATGCCCAACTTGGTGGAGATCAACCTTCGTGATGCTGCCATTGAGGACGATGGCTTGGTGGCTATTGCGGATGCGCTACGAGAGGGTGGTGCAGCCAGGGGAATTACGGCGTTGGATGTTTCGGGTAACGACCTGACTGCTGCGAGTATGCCGACACTGGGACAGATGCTGCGTGATAGCGCAGCTCTGCGTGTGCTACAGGTGGAGGAGAACGAGATCGGATCTAAGGGCGCTAAGGCCATTGCCAAGTCTCTGAAGGTCGGATCTCCGGCGCTGGAGAAGGTTGTTGCTAATATGAACGAAATTGGCGCATCTGGCGCTCTTGCGCTCGTTAAGGCTGTTGTTGACAAGAAGGCGTTCGTGAAGCTGGACATTGATGGCAACCAGATTTCGGCGGGTGGCGTGGCGAACATTGAGTCGCTGCTGGAGAGCAACAACAAGAGTGACGTGCTCGGCTCGCTGGAGGACAATGACGATGACGAAGAGGAAGACGATGAGGAAGAAGAGACTTCGGTGGAGGACGTGACGGTCATGCTAGACAAAGTGACGATTTCAGACGCGAGCTTTGAATTCGAGAACAAAAGTCGTGAAGTTGTTGATGCTGCTCGTGCGCTGCAACTGCTAGAAGCTTCTGGGATCAAAGTGAACGAGCGTTCGCCGCTGCATTTCAAGTCCATTTCTCTGCGTGGAAAGAGCTACACCGACTCCGGCGCGAAGGTCATCGCAGACTCGTTCCTGTCGCGCTTGCAGAGCGACCTCAAAGTGGTGGACCTGGCTGATGTGATCGCTGGCCGCCCAGAGGACGAGGCACTTCGCGTCCTCTCAGTCATGTGCCACGCACTTCGCGGCCATGCTCTAGATGAGATCGACCTCAGTGATAACGCTCTCGGTGAGAAGGGTGTGCGGGCCTGCTTCGACCTGCTGATCCCACAGCCAACGCTCCGCCGTCTCCTGTTCTGCAACAACGGCATTTCGGCTGCTGCTGCCAGTGTGATCGCACAGGAGATCGTGCTGCAGAATGGCAAGGATGCCCAGTCTACGCTGGAAGAGTTCCACTTCTACAACAACATGAGTGGCCACGACGGTTGTGTGGCGGTGGCTAACGTCCTCGCGCAGTGCAAGAAGCTAACGCTATTGCGCTATGCCAGTGCCCGTGCTGGCCCGGAGGCGAGCGAGGAGATGGCACGCAGTGTGAACACGCACCTGCGTCAACTCAAATCGCTTGACCTGAGCGATTGCTCGTTCGAAGAAGATGGCGCCACGCAGCTCGCGGAGGCCATCAGCAAGCAGCCGAACCTTCAGTACCTCAAGCTGCGAGATGCTTCACTGTGTGCTGAAGGTG